TTGACAAGCTTCTTTGCACATTCACATGAATAATATAAAATATAATGAACACATGCATTATGTATTATTATAGGTTCAGATCTGATGAGACTTTATTGATCTCTGGGGGAACTCAGCAGCATTAATATCTGCTGCCTCATTAAATAATAATAACTTTATTTGTTTTTCAAAACCAAGTCACAAAGTCCTGCACAGTAAAACAAACATGATCCATACTTAAAAATATAAATGACTAAAAATAAAATCAGTCAATTCTAAAAGTCACAGGGAACCAGTGAGGATCGGTGTGATGTGGTCACTCCTCTGAGTGCGAGTTAGAAGCCCGGCTGCAGCTTTTTCAATGAATGCAGTCTCTACAGAGCATTGCAGTAGTCCGGTCTTGAGGAATAAAGGCGTGGATGACCTTCTCTGAGTCAGTTCTAATCTTAGTTAGCTGGAAAAAAACAGGAGCCTGAGCATCAAAAGGCAGCTCTGAGTCAAAATGACACCAAGGCTGCGAGCTTCTTTCTGACTGCTGAAACGTTAAAGTGAAGAACAGAATTCATGCATCAGTAATTATAATCCAGCAAAATAAAGCACCTTATTCTGCACGAGTACTTTAGCTTTAATACTTTTACTGAATGCAGGACTTTTACTTGTAAACTGGTGCTGCTACTTTTACCTCAGTAGTTCCAGCGCTGCTCAGGTGTCCCTGCAGCGAGGACCAGGTGTCCCTGCAGCGAGGACCAGGTGTCCCTGCAGCGAGGACCAGGTGTCCCTGCAGCGAGGACCAGGTGTCCCTGCAGCGAGGACCAGGTGTCCCTGCAGCACTGCTCAGGTGTCCCTGCAGCGAGGACCAGGTGTCCCTGCAGCGAGGACCAGGTGTCCCTGCAGCACTGCTCAGGTGTCCCTGCAGCGAGGACCAGGTGTCCCTGCAGCGAAGACTAGGTGTGCCTGCAGCGAGGACCAGGTGTGCCTGCGGCGAGGACCAGGTGTGCCTGCAGCGAGGACCAGGTGTCCCTGCAGCACTGCTCAGGTGTGCCTGCAGCGAGGACCAGGTGTGCCTGCAGCGAAGACTAGGTGTGCCTGCAGCGAGGACCAGGTGTCCCTGCAGCGAGGACCAGGTGTCCCTGCAGCGAAGACTAGGTGTGCCTGCAGCGAGGACCAGGTGTCCCTGCAGCGAGGACCAGGTGTCCCTGCAGCGAAGACTAGGTGTGCCTGCAGCGAGGACCAGGTGTGCCTGCGGCGAGGACCAGGTGTGCCTGCAGCAAGGACCAGGTGTCCCTGCAGCACTGCTCAGGTGTCCCTGCAGTGAGGACCAGGTGTCCCTGCAGCGAGGACCAGGTGTCCCTGCAGCACTGCTCAGGTGTCCCTGCAGCGAGGACCAGGTGTCCCTGTCCTCAGTGGTCTGTTGAAGAGACATAATTTTTCAAACATACGCACGGCGACAAGAAGAGCAAATTATCGTGTGAGGATTTGGACGGATGGATATTTCATTATTAGACAGGAATAAAACTCATCAGTCCTGGTGCTGCACACACATTCATTCAGTTCGCTGTGACCGGACCGGAGGAGTGAACGAAGCGAAGACTGTTTCAGAAAGAGGGAAAGAAGTGTTATTAAAATGTGGAGTCACTGCTGGCTGAAATTATTTTAGAGCAGCATGAAATCTTAAATCCAGTCATTCAGTCAAGGACAATAAAAATAATAAAATCTCTCTCTCTCTCTCTCAGGAGGGCTGGACAGTTCCCAAACCACGTCTCAGGAGCTCCTCATTCCAAACGACGTAAGTGCTGCAGACCTAACCGGACAGAACCCCTGAACCCCTGAACCCTCACAGGTCTCCCTTCCTCAGGTACCCCCATCTTTCTGCAGACACCTTCATGTTGCTTCGTCGTCTCGTAAAGCTGCAGAGAGTCAGTCGGTCTAGAGAAGGTGTTGCTGCGCTTTCTGGGTTTAACGAGTCTTCGAGGGACGTTTTCTCCCGCTTGGTGGGCGTGTCAGAGGCGTTACCCAATCAGCTGGACAGCCGGATGAAACATATTTTAACCAAGACCAGAGAAAGTTCAGCTCTGGCTCTCTGCACATTCATTCGGACAGGAGCCTGGTCAGGACCTGCCTATAAGGACTAAATCAGACAGGAAGCAGTTTTAGTGCCGTGGCCCCGCTCTACAATTTACTTTTTTGCCTTCGGCCCGGCCGACGTGTTTCTAGAAAAGTGTCCGTCTCACCTGCTCAGGAGCTCTGAGGACTTTAGCACCCTTTGTTTTTATTGAAGCATTTTAAACCTGCAGAGATGACTCGGTCTCACCTGCTGGAAGAGTCCGGCAGGAGTTTATTACCAAACACACCAAAGTCATACGTGCACATATTAACCATGGCGCACTGAGCCTCTGACGGCGGCACGCTGCTGTTGTTCAGGCGGTGAAGTGGACAGCTCACAGTGTCACGCTCGAGGACGGGAGACGTCTGATGGACGCGTTGCAGGTTCATAAAACTCCTCACAGACGTTACATCACCG